GCTTTCACTACCAAGTCCCACTACAGGCAGCTAAAATGGTGCTCTGATTTTATATGTCTTATTCTAGCTACAAACACACGGATGAGTTACACCACCTGCAGTCTTCACCTTTGACAATTTAAGAGTTTATATGATACCTCATTCTATACATAATATTGGAATAATATTAGTATTTTTGACCTTTTTAAATGTCATGGAGGTACATGAAATGGTAACAAATAGAGATTAAATTGTGATTTTGCAGGTTTTTCAGAGAAAAAAACCTTAAATTGTATTTTTTTCCTCAAGCTTTAAGACATATCTTTTTCTCAATAAAATGCAATGGCCTTCAGTCCCTGTTGTTAGGGGGCATGAACTACACAGTGTAAATATTTCAGCAAGCATCAGTGTATCTCAAATCAAACAACTTGTCTCATTGATGGCTGCTGCTATGTGCCATTGCATTTTCTTTGTAATTCAGAGATTCAATGCTACAGGCTGGCACAGAGTGGCTGGAAAGGAGCTGGGGGTGCTGGTGACAGTGACTGACCATGAGCCAGGGTGTGCCCAGGTGGCCAAGAAGGCCAATGGCATCGTGGGCTGGATCAGCAATAGTGTGGCCAGCAGGAGCAGGGCAGGGATTGTCCCCCTGTGCTGGGCACTGCTGAGGCCACACCTCGAGTGCTGTGTCCAGTTCTGGGCCCTCCCTGCAAGAAAGACCCTGAGGGGCTGGAGTGAGTGCAGAGAAGGGAACGGAGCTGGGGCAGGGTCTGGAGCACCAGTGCTGTGAGGAGCAGCTGAGGGAGCTGGGGGTGTTTATCCTGGAGAAAAGGAGGATCAGGGTGACATTATCACTCTCCACAGCTGCCTGGAAGGGGAAGGGCCCAGGTGGGGATTGGCCTCTTCTCCCAGGCAACCATGACAGGAAGAGAGGACAGGGCCTCGAGCTGCACCAGGGAAGGTTTAGCTTGGACATTAGGAAGAATTTTTTCACAGAAGGGATGATTAAGCATTGGAATGGGCTTTCCAGGGACGTGATGGAGTCACCTGGAGGTGTTTAAGGAAAGACTGGAAGTGGCATGGTCTGTTGACAAGGCGGCATTCAGTCACTGGCTGGACTTGATGACCTCAGAGTTCTTTTCCAACATAACTGAATCTGCAATTCTGTGATTCAATGTTGTATAATAATACCAAGTTCTGCAGTTTGGATTTGACATACAGAGGGAGTCATCTGAGCCATTTATGGCATTTGGCATTCTACACCTCGTTTCTGGCAGAGCTGCCTCTCTGGCAGTGACAACCCTGGACGAAATCTCTCTCAATGAAATCACTGGCAAATTTCCCAATACCTTGAATAAGAACAGAATTGGGTCCCATGACCAGAAAATGCATGTGCATCTCTCATACTGTCAGCGCAGATGTTCATGATCACAATCTAGCAATCCTAACTGAGGGACTTGTGACATCTGGGAGTAAGCTAATTATTTTAACACACAAAGATATAAACAGAACTTATTTGCACCCCAAAAAAAGATAAGACCTTGACTAAAGGAAATAATGCAAGGCAAAACTTATTCCAACTACGTTCAAATAATCTTTGTCTGATCCAAGTCACCTACTTAGCTGGGGAAAGATAAAAGCCCAAGAAAACCCAGTCCAAAAACCCCCAAATACCCAAATATCTCTCCTTGCTGATCAAAAGACAAAGACATGACATCAGCTATTGCTAAGAGGTTTTTTTTAATTAGTGTATTTTTCGTTAAAATTCCCCTGTGCAACTCATTTCCCTGAATATTCTTTACAGAAAAAACAGCTCAAAAAGAAAATTCTTAAAATATTTTTTACATTTTACAAACGTTTTGGAAAGGAAATGTTTTTCTTTATTTCGTTCTGGATGGGTCAAAGTAACTCATCATTTATAAAACTGCAGTGCAGGAGGTATTTCACAGAATTTTACAGTGATAAAACAAAACAGAAGCACTGTTTTTTGAGCAGCAGGTACCATTTCTAGTCTAGTACTGAAGGTAGCTGCTTTTCAAGCTTAGCAATGAACAATTAATAAAGAAACCCATTAAGGTCTGATTGTTGCTGCTAAAAAGGAAGGTTGAATTTCAGGCCTTTGAAGTAACTGAGAATGATTCAGGCCTCATTACAGAGATATAATCTACATTCATACATTTATGTTAGTGATTCAAATCTATTGGGACAGATTGAATTCCGTTAAATAGTGCATCTTTCCTGTGGAACTTTTCTCAGGCTTTCTCAGGCTAACCTAAGAGGTGACCTGACAATACAAAGTAGTTGGGTATTTAGGGATTCAACTGTGCTATAAAAGAAAGGCTATACAGAAAGTAGAAAAAAGAATGAGATATAATCTAAAAAGCTATGTCAGCTTTTCATTTGGACTCTGTTTTGTAAATGCCCTCCTTGTCATCACACAGGATAGAAAAGGACTCTATGCATTGCAGTAGTTTAAAGTACTGCCCTGGATATTGCACCTGCCAGAAGCAGATCTCATGTGAAATTCTGCTCATGTTGAATTTTCTGTTCTTAAACATGAAATCTTACAACCGATATACAGACAGTCATGAGGTAGAAATAAGCTTAAGCAGAACTCTTCTTGAGTAAATTCAAGACAGTACCTATTTTTCCAGGGTTAATTATAGCTGTTTAACCCCCAAATTATTTCTGATCTTAAAGAGATCTTAAAACGCCAATTCACTTTATTTTGCAGCACCTGACAGGAAAAAGAGAAAAACAAAAAAGAGAGATTACTTCAAATCTAAAACTTTTAGATATTATAGAAATTGTTTATAATTTAAGTTGTTGGAATCAAAATAACTTCAGTATTAGAAATAACGCATTGTATCCTTCATGACAAAGGCAGCACTCAAACACTGACATAAGCTTTGTAGACACACATGTAAGCTGTCAGGCATTCACAGAAAGGAGGGGTTTGCTTTACATTCTGTTTTTTTCTCTACTTTTTTAAAATTAATTACCAAAAGGAAAAGCCTTTGGCAGAAGAAAATCCTAAATCAGATTTGCAAAGAGAAAGATTTCTGAAATGCTTTGCACTCAGTGCAAATACATGCAGAATAAATACTCTGAAGTACCATAAACAACATCGTAAAACATATTGATTCTAACATTAAATGGTTTCATTTTTAAGGCTGTTTAAATGTCACCCCCAGCAGCTGAACACATAAATTTAGGAACCAACTCTCTCCAGAATAAACACCATAATTGGAGAAAATAATTTCTAATTTCTGTTGTGAAGTTAACAATATATTTAACATCCTAATCTAATGAATCTGTCTAATTTTAGAACTGTTTGTTCTTCCTGCATTTTCTGTTGTTTAAACTAAGATTTACTCCAAATGCCAAATGGAATCGCATAGGAAGTTTTCCATTGCATTCTACTGATCTGCATTATTTAACTGCTTCTATTTCAAAAAGGTTTTGGGTTTATTTATTGAGCTACTCACTATGTTTCTGTATCTATTTCCTTGATATTCCATTCTCTTAGCAAATGTTCCATCCACCCGTGTTCCAAAACAGGTATTTAACAACACTAAATACTGATTAAATATAATAGCTTGCAAGCTGCCCATACCCTGTCAGTTCCTGATGCTTTATTCTGGTGTTAAAAGATAGTACATCATATGGAAGATGCTTGTTAATCACTGGGAAAGTTGACAGTTCAATGATGGGCTAGAAATATGAATCTGTCATAACATTAAGTATGTGAAATGATAAATCTACTAGATGAGATGGAATCATAGGAAAAACCAACAACATATGCCCCTCCAGGAAAATAATAGCTTGAAAAAATCGCTTAAAATAGCCTTGAAAATGGAAAAATTGCTTCTTTCTGGCAAGGGAAACTGCATTAGTTTAAAAAAAAAATTAAAAAGACAGCAAAGTATTCAGACAGATTTTATGGGGAAACCTTTGCAATGCCAATAAAATCCCTTTTGCTTTGAAGTCAGACGCGTGATTCAGTAAACGACTCATGTTAGCAATTAGAAAATGGTCATTTAGGGCCCTGATTTCTTTTGAGACAAGGAGAGTGAGGGTGGGGAAAGAGACACAATAAATCTTGAGAGGCTTAAAAGGAAGAGCAGGCTAAAGTGTGAACTTTTTATTTCAGCAACGGAAGCGAGAAATCAGTGATTCATTGAAGGAGGGAGAAAGACCTCCATGGAAGCTGGCAGAGAAGAAGGAAAAGGAGCTAATTATGTCTCTTCCCTTTTTACTCTCTCTGACCAGCATATAATCTGCTTTTCCAGGGTCTGCCTGTAGTATATACTCCTTTCCAACCTCTCCACCCAACCCCTCCTCCAGCAGGGGGGAGGGGGAGATCTAGCAGGCAACAAGCTCCAGGTGGCTTTCTCAATCACTTCACTGCCAAAAAAAATAAAATAAAACCCTCCACTAGAAAACAAGTTGGGGTTTTGAGGGTTGGTTTTTGTTAGTTTGGGGAGGGGGGGGGTTAGGGGAGGAGGTTGGTTGGTTGGTTAAGGGGGGGGTTTCTTTTTGGGGGGTGGTGAGGGAGAGTGGAGGAAGAGTGAAGGGGGAGGGAAGCCTCCCTGGAGGGGATTGGTTCAACTTGGAAGACAGGGAAATTAGTAAAGCATGAGTCTCTAAGCCATGCTGGTGGCCGGCGCTCCGAGGAGAAGGACGCTTTAGGAGCAATTAGCAGCGAGCCGAAGGCGGCGGCTGCCGCAGCTGCCGCAGCCCGGGAGGAAGCGAGGGCAGCTCCCGGGGCTGCCTCCGCAGCAGGCACCGCTCGCTCCAGCTGCAAAAAGGTTTCAGATGTCCCACCACTGCCTGACCCCCTGCAAATAAGGGCTGACCACCAGAGGCACATCCCACCTCTGACTTGTAATCGCTGACATTTAGGCTACAGCTTCCAACCTGTTTACAACCAAAGGGGGAGGGAGAGGAAAGGAAAGGAAGGGCGGGGGGACAAGTTGGGATTTCTCCCTCTCTCTTTCTCTCGGGATTTTTTTTTTTTTTTAATACTGTTCTGGAGAATTCAAAGCAAAACAAAGAAACTTCCTCCTCTGGGGCTGTCAGTGAGAAAAGGACGAGTTGTGCAACTGGTTTGGGATTTGCAAAAAGGCAAGAGGGTGGGGATCAGAAGAAGGTGCAAAGCCACAAAGTGTGAGTGCGCGTGTGTGTAAAGGTGTATGTGTGAACCATCCATTCCGGCGCCCCTCTCCGCTGGTTATTATTTATCTTAGTCGTTGTTTTTGTTGTTGTCATTGACTTTGCTGTCATCTATTTTTCAGACCTTTCTGCATCTAAGATGGTGAAGAAAGGAGTGAGGAAGAGAACAAAGTAACTACTGGAAAGTCTCAAACCAGGTTGGGGAGTGTATGTGCATGTGGGGGGGTGGGGAAGGTAAAAAGGAAAGAGGATTAACCACAGCAACCCCCCCACCCAAAAAAAAAAAAAAAAAAAACCAAACCAAAAAACCAAACCAACAACCAACAGTTCTTTTTCCTGAGGGAGGACTCGAAGGATTAAAAGGCAGCAACTTCTGAGGCGATTTGTCCCCTGAGTTATGGATGTTGGTGCACTTACTTCAGGCCAGATCAGAGCTCAGAGGAATCTAACCAGAAGCAGCAACCACCGTCTCTCCACTTGCCTTTTACCAGGTTTTACCCTTCCAGTATGTTTCATTTGATAAGACATTTTCCAGCGCCCAGAGTTTCAGTACAATGTGCAAATGGATACTGACAAATGGTGCCTCAGCCTTTTCCCACCTGCCTTGTTGCTGCTTGCTGCTGCTCTTCTTGGTGTCTTCTGTGCCTGTCACCTGCCATGACCTCGGCCAGGACATGCTGTCCCCGGAGGCCACCAACTCCTCTTCTTCATCATCCTCCTCCTTCCCCTCGTCCTTCTCCTCTCCTTCCAGTGCGGGGAGACACGTGCGGAGCTACAATCACCTCCAAGGAGACGTGCGCAAGAGGAAGCTCTATTCTTACAACAAGTACTTTCTCAAGATCGAGAAGAACGGCAAGGTCAGCGGCACCAAGAAGGAGAACTGCCCGTTCAGTAAGTACGGCGGTGCCGCCGGGCAGGGGCCGCTGCGCCCCGGGCGGTGCCGCCCCGGGCCCGAGCCCCGGCTGGGGAGGGAAGGGAAGGAAGGGAAGGGAAGGGGGCGCGGGGCAGGGAAGGGGGCGCGGGGCAGGGCTGGGTGGGCTCGGCTCCTCAGGGACGCCGCTCACCACCAGCCCGTATCTGCGAATCTCTCCGGTTACATTTGTTTTGCAAATGGCCTCGCTGAGCACCGTTTGTTTCTTCGCCTGGCAGAAGAGCAAATTAGAAAGATTTGCAAGGAAGTGGCGGGGAGTGTGTGGGGGACATTGTCTCCTGAATCTGAAAATCATTATCCCCTGTCATTAGAGCGCCTTGACGAGAGCGCTGCATTGGAACAATTAATCGATGGCCCGCACGCTCCTCTCCTCTCCCCGAGCCGCCCGCTCCGCGCTCCTCCTCGCCGCTGCCGGGGCAGGGTGCTCGTTCCTGCGGGCCGAGCTCTGGCCCGGCTGCGCTCCCCGCCGCGGCCGTGCCCGCCGGCGCTGGAGCCGGTGCGCGGCCGCGCTGCCGCCCGCGGCGCGGCGGAGGCGGTCCCGGGCTGCAGCGCCGCTATACCGCTACTCGCTCCATTGTAAACATCTGGGGCTGCCTTCCCACAGACCTCACACGCGTTTCATTGTCCCTTTCTTTCTTTCTTTCTTTCTTTCTTTCTTTCTTTCTTTCTTTCTTTCTTTCTTTCTTTCTTTCTTTCTTTCTTTCTTTCTCTCTTTCTCTCTTTCTTTTTTTATTATTTTTTTTTAATAAATTATGTCAGAGCAAAAGGCATATGGCAGTCCCCATAGCTGAAGTTTCGAGCTTTTCTCTAGAACTAATTAGACGCTTAGTAATAGCATGCTTCTTGTAATGTGTTTTTGGCTGTTAGTGCTAGAAATGTACCCTTTACTCGGTTTTCCTGTCTGTGCAATCTTAAATTGAACTGTACTAAATCACAATATATTGCTTTCTCTTGCAAATCTTAAGTGACTATGCCCCACTATAGGAACATGCTGAGAAAGTAAGCTCTGTTATGCGACTCGAGGAAACTCTAAGGCTTTCTTCAGTGGTAAAGACCCACATTTTGGTTCTTGTGTTGTTTTACGTAAATCCAGATAAACCCGGGAATAAATCTGCTGTTAAATTAAAACAACTGAAAGCGAATTAAGTAAATCCCTTGTTAGCTAATGTGTAAAATACAGAGTACTTCAGCAGGTTGCCATGCTGTATAGACACTGCTGTTAATTCAGCTGTATTTCTAGTAAATACCCATAATATAACCTTACAAACAGTGAGAAAAAGGCTGGAGTATCATGTGTCGCTGCTTCACTTGCTCCACCTTGCATCTTCATGCTTTATCATGCGCTCTAATGTTTGTAAATGCTTTAGATGTCAAAGCAGCTGAATCTTGCCACCTCCCTTTCTGTATTTCATAGAAAGGCTAATTGTTAAAAACAGAGCTGTGAGGAAGGCTTCACTTTGATGGATTCGTGTGGAATGAGGTCCTAGAATGGTGTTTCTTAGATTACCTTTGGATTTAGAGGAAAGTAGCACCCCTAAAATTCTGATTTCGGATTCTGAAAGCTTTATGTGCATTTCTGAGAACATCCAACCATTCCGTATAGCACACTGCTGCCAGAAAGGGCTGCAAGGTGCCCACTCTGACAGCAGTGTACTCAGGGAAGTAACTACACGTCTGAGCAGTCCCACTTAGCCAGCAGAATTGCTCAGTGAGTAAACTTATCCACATGCTTGAACTTCTGCAAAATCCTGCCAATAAGAGGTAGAACACATTGAAATGAGCATATACATCTCCCCACCTTTTCAGGCTACATGCAAGAACACAGTTATGGGAGGGGATGTGCATGGTCTGTCCTGGTTTTCCAGTGCATCAGAAAGAGAATTGGCCTTCTCAGTGATGTCATAGTTACCATCACATCTGCAGAGTGTCTGCTGAAAGAGAGGAGAATGTCATTTGTTTCATATAAAAGCAAAATAACGCCTTTATTATACATCATTTTGTCCTATCACTGATTATGTCCAGTGAAGAAAAGATTGCCATCGTCGTAAAACTTGTAGTTCCCTACTGTACTTACAAAGGCAGACCTAGTGTACATCCTTCAGGTCAAAACTATTACCACTCAGTTGACAGAAGTCAGAGTTCTATGTTGTTGATTAATAGTCATTATAATATGCAGTGTGAAACTGTGTTTTCTGTAAAAACACAGTCTGAGACAATTCAAAATGTATTTATTATGCCTTTATTCAAGGCTGTTTGTGCAGCAAAATGTTGCAAGTGAATTCACTATGTCTGTGTTTTTCACAGCATCATGTGTAGCCGTGCTATCATAATACTGCTATAATCCCCAGCTGGACTGATTCAATACAAAGATATGGTGTCTTTTCTATGGTCTAAGTAAGTTATTCCATGTGAATAGATTTCTGCCATGCATAGAGTTAGCCAGAGAGGCCACTAAATTGTAGCCTGTTTAACATTACAGGCTATTTAATCTTTAAAATTATTTTCTCTCTCTGAAACCATGTTTTCCTAAACAAATAAGAGTGACTATTGATGCACAAGACTGAAATGTTCTAATCTAGAGGCTAATTTTCTCATATGCTAATGTTTAAAATCCATTTATGCTGCAGTAAAGCCTTATCAGTAGGTCTGTAAGATCGTGATATGTTGTGTAATTAGACAACAGCTTTCATGGCTCACTGCCAATTAAGCACTGTCAAGTAAGAGGAACAGTTGGAGAAAGTCAGAATAAACATTCAGAAAACAGAATTTAGTCTCCAGACTTTAAATGGCTCAACCAGCATTCATGGATTTGCTCTATAAATACTGTGTAGAGTGCACTAAATTAAAGTTTACTCTGGCAGCTGTATTACAACTTGCTTGCTTGGAGCTATTCCATCATCCTTTCTCTACCTGTGGAGTACCAGGTGGTTCCTGACTGTTCTGTCAGAAGACTGGCAGAACTTGCAGCAGTTGGCATGTCTGGAGGTGTCTGTCACTAGATAGATGTAGGACACTTTATTTTATTGTTCCATGCATCTGGAAGTTAGTCCTCAAAATGCAACTACTACCTCGTCCTGCAGCACCACAGCTGTGAAGTCCCTTGCCCCTGTTCTTGACAGAGCCCTTCACAAGCACAAATAAAGAGAGCTGCAGTGTTTTCGGAAGGCTTACACAGTAGATGAGGTTCAAACAAATCCAAAAATCCTCCAAAGAACAATCCTAAAAGCATTCACTATAGCTTGAGCTCTGGGATCACCAAGAGAAGCTTAAGGCATATATTAAAATTGAGAGGGAACTGCATGTGTGGAGATTCTGACTTTACTCTCACACGGACAGTTCTCTTGATAAAGATAGTGAAACTCTCTGGGATTAATGGTTGGCATGCATTAAAGCTACATGACATATGATAAGCTATGATATAGGATAAGCTGGTCCAAGAAAACTTGAATGTATATCTCAGTGGTATACAATGTTCAATGGACTTCTAGGGAAACCATTCACAGTACTATAAGGCACACAAAACCTCAGATTTGCAGGACAGACGTTATGAGCTGAATAACAAAATACACAATACTTCATTTGCAGCAGCTGACCTGCAATCTGTGGAGGGAGTTCTGCCTGAGCAAAGATTTCGGGATCAGGCTCTTACTTAGGTTACCTGTTCAGGGAGTGCAGTCTGTGTCACTGAGCCTGGAGATGAGTGGGAAGAATTGCTGGAGAGATTCCTGTGGGCTTTGGACCAAGCAGTGCTATGCAAAACCTACAGTAGATGGCGGCACAGCCACTGCCTGGTGTCACCTTTGCTCGGAGAGGTGGACAAGAAGGGTCTGCATCCTCAACTGTGCAAGCTAATTTAGTTCAAGCAAAGCCAAAACGGGCTTGCACCAGCAGATATTCTATTAATTTGCCCTCTGACCGACCCAAGTGGACTATTTCAAGAAACAGGCACTGTGTTGCAGAATAAAAGTGTATGTCAGGGGAGCTAGCAAGAAATAATTAGCCACTTCCCACAAGCTAACCTATTCTGGGCTTTTCTTCTGAGCATTCAATTATCTTTTCTACTAAGCTTTAAGAACTCTTGAAGTCTCTGATAGATTTTGGTTTTGCTTTGGTTAGTGTGGGATAAGCTTAACAACATAGTGAGTGAAAGCAAGAAACTTTGGAGCCTCATTCTTTAGACCAAAAGATTGTAAACAACCACTCAACCACTAGAATTGCCGAACATTACTAATGAGGATTTTAATTGTGTGCATATATACATGACATATAAATAGGTATTTGATTATAGATTGTCTTATATGCAGAAAAATAGCATTGAATGTTTTTTGATTAAGTATACTTCATTTGATACTCGTTTTTTTCACCACACCTGTGGTGAAAAATAATAAAGTGCCATAGGTACCTTAACATCAGTTATGAAGCTCCAAGCAGATTAGAATAATAGGTAAAATACACACTTTCTCTACTGAAACTTTTGTAAACTGTTTGGGATTATTGACTCCTTATCATATTTGTTTGCAAATTAATTTGAGAACTTTTCACTGTTTTTCTAAAGACTTATTAGTGTTTTGCTGGTTTACTCTCCAAAGAGTTCTGTTTTATGGCTTTACCAATCAAAATACTTTAAATAGGAAATAAAGTGAGTGAAGTAATTCTAAACGTAGGCTCCTTACTGTGAAATGTGTATTTTCTTATTTCTCACTTTCAGTTTTATTAGTTGGTTTTTGGGGGTTTTTTTGTTTTGTTTTGTTTTGTTTTGTTTTGTTTTGTTTGGGTTTTTTTGTTTGGTTGGTTGGTTTTGGGGGATTTTTGATTGGTTGGTTTTTTGTTTGTTTTTTGGGGATTTTTGATTGGTTGGTGGGGGTTTTTTTGTTGTTTTTTTTTTTGTTGGGTTTTGGGTTGTTTTTTTTTTGTTTGGTTTGGTTTGGTTTTTGTCTATGGAACTCAGTTATATAATTTA